CCTTAAAATCTGCTTAAAACTGTAGCGAAAACACAACTTCACCAAAAAATCACCGACAAAAAACCATGCGGCGGGTACTACTACTACTACTACTACTACTACTACTACTACTACTAACTACTACTCCTACTACTGCTACTACTACTACTACTACTACGACGACGACGACTACGACTACGACTGCGACTACGACGACGACCACTACTGCTACCACGACGACGACGACGACTACTACCACTGCTACTGGCCGTGTTGGCACAAGTCGTTGTACGACTTAAGACTTTAGACATAGTATGATATAGTTGTTCTGATGGAATCTCGTGACTGGTGTCGTTTTTGCCAGCTGGCCTTCGACAAGCTGGCAGATTGGCCGGCCACCTTGTGGCCACTGATGCCTGCAGGAGCAACGGTCAGACGCTGCGTAGCACGTTGCAAGTCTTCCCGTGTAAGAACGAGGCACTCAGTCCCTCTTGATCCGGTCTTACGCAAGCCCCACGCAAGCCATAAACCCTGTAACGCAGGGCGTGTTCCTGTTTTTATTGACCTGTACTTAATACTTTAAACCTTACACCCCACCCTGAACCCCGCCTAAATGCAGGCTCTAAGCTTGAAGCAGAGCAGAAACCGTCATCCTAACCAACCTACACCCCAAACCCTCCCTAAGCTCTTGTCGACTCGAAGGCTTGCAACTGTTAAAAGCTTAAGCTAAACCCTAAGCCTAAACCCCAAAACGGGGGGGTGGGCTATCCTGGGCCATGGGGGGGGTGGCCGCGGAGCGCCTGACCATGTATACTTTGGCCTATACTTTGGCCTGGGGCCTCGTGGGGGATCGGGGGCCTGGCTGTAACTGTTGAGGAAGCCGGCTACAGAGACGACCAAACCTTCCTCCATTGTCGATTTGTGTTGTGATCTAACCTCGCTGTTGTCTCGGAGGCTCTGGAGCTTTCCCTCGCCTCCACTCGTCTCCGAGCGGGAGCTCGGCGGTCCGGATGCCTGGTCAAAGCGTTCGAAACTCGAGGTGAAAGGTTCCCCGAGTACAAGATCTGGTGTGCTCAGAGGCTTGGGCGATTGTTTGCTCTCATTTGCTGCCACGCTGCATGGAAGCTCCGCTCACGCTCCTGCAGACCAGGAATCTTCAAATCCGTACTTGAGATGCTTACCTACCCGATGCATGAGGCAGCCATCTCGTGTCCAGGCAGACACCGCACAGCCTTGCCCGAAACTGAGACTTCTGCGTTGCACGCCTCCATATGCTACCGTAAGGATGATTGCGATGTTTGACATGATGACGACGATGATGAGGGTCGTGATGCTTGCCAGTTTGGTACTACTGTTTCATCGCGAACATTTACTGGTTGTTGACGTTCTCATGGCCGGCGTTGCCTGATGCAACCTTGTTACCAGAATTTTGTAAACCGCATCACGAACTGTTTATTTCTGTGAGGCTTCCTGTAATGATGCTTCTTCGTGAGCTTGGGGGCGGCTTCTTGTGAGGAACCGAATGCTTGTGAGAAACCGGGCGGGGAGGTGCCGGCAGGGCCGGGGCAGGGGCCGGGGAGGCCAGGGGGAGCGGGACCTCACAGGAAACCTCACACGAAACCTCACAGCAAACCACAACACCCGAACCCTCGCAAAGAAAAAAACAAAACGTCATAGCACATCACAGCGAACCTCGCAGACAACCTCACAGGACTTCCTTGACCACACACTCTCACAGAAAAACCTTCTGGCTGCTCTCCAGTCATTCCAGGGATAGAAAGTCACAATGTTCGAGCAGTCATGATGGTGATGATGACGGGAGTACTGGTGCTGCTGCCGTTGGTGTTGGCCGTGAAGCCAAGCCCATTACCATGCTCATGTTGAATAATATTGCTACGTAGAGTGTGTGTGTGTGTGCTAAACTGAGCAGCAGCAATAACCCTGATTTTTTAGTTACTAAATCATCAGCGTCATTGCTGCCGCTCTGGCTATCTTCCCTATGTTATGCCGCTGTCATTATGCGCTTCTGGAGAGGCGGGTTGTGCGCCTTGGCAGCCACGGCCTGCTCTCGCATAGTGAGGATCTGCTCGCGAAGGGCCAAGTTCCTCAATACAGGCGCTAAGGGCATAGTTTCGAAGTTGCTTTTTGTAGCAGGCCTAATGCTTGGAGAGTTATGACTGAAAGTGATTGTTGATGACTGCCTGTGGATGCGAACACCCTTGCATTTGCAGTTCACTGAATAGTATCTTGCGCGGTTTCATTAGGAAAAACAGGAAACCATTCCACTAGGTGCAGGGCTTGGGAAGCGTGTGTAGCAATTGGGGTTCTACAGGCTTCCTGGCGCGGTACGGCGTCCAAGTGTTGGGGTCACCTTCTTGGGAGTCGTGCAAAGCGGTCAGGCTGTCGGCTGATCGCCAAGGCTCTCTTGCCGCAACAGTGTCCGAGGGGTCAAGTGCAGCCGGGGGATCTTCTGAACCTCCTGTTGCGACATCATATGCTGCAAAACAAGTCTAAGCCGCAAGGCTGACGTTGCGTCAAGTGGTGACCCTCAACGGCAAAGTCCTGGTGCTCCCTGGCTGGTCCAGGGCTCGCAGCTTTGGCAGAGGCACCAGAGATGGATGGATCCGCGAGGCACTTCTCCGACAGAGAGGTCGCCACAGACAAGGTTGAGCCCTCAGCATTTTCAATTCGGCCCCGTTGAGGGCGATATGGGCTGCTAACGGACAGCTGCAGGGAGCCCTGCCAGGCAGGACGTGGCTCCTGTGATGGGACGTCCCGGATAAGCTGCTCCAGGCGCTCTAACTCGAGGTGAAGCCTCCTCTCCATGTCCGCCCGGCTCTGCTGCTCCCTTGCAAGCTGCAGCTCAAGTTGAACCACGCGAGCTCCCAACGTTGCCAAGCTCTCTTCGCCTTCGGGCTTGGAGGGGATCGTTGGCTTGGGCCCCGCATGGTGCGGCCCCGGAGCCTTCTGTAGCAGAGTTGGTCCTGCTGGGGCTGGGCTGCTCTCCTGTAGCCTTGGAGTGCTCATGCCTGCATGGTAGGAGTGCCTAAGATTCCGCGATGGGGCAGACTCGATGCCCGGCTCTCCCATCAGGCCCGTCACGAAAGCCTCGCGAAACTTTCAAGGGGCAGCTGAGAGCAGAGGCTCGAAAGTGGCCGAGCCTTGAGGCTCACGAGCCCGGAGCTGTTCGGGTCCATGCTCCTGAAGACTGCCGCAACGTCTGCTCGGAAGCCGAGCTTTCGGAGGCCCATCTCAAACTCCTCGCCTGGTCGCGTCAGCTTCGTCGCTTGCAACAGCTCAGCTTGAAGCTTCTTGACCCTTGCCCTCCGAGCTCTAAAATGCTCTAAAGGCGGCCAAGGAACGCTTCAGCTGGCCAGTGTCAGAGGAGTCCTTGGCGTGCGTCCAAAAAACGAAGCGAACCCCGTCCCGCGCGTCAGCTCAAACCGGAGCCACGCAGTTTCAAGGGGCATGGGACTGGACTTTTCAGGCAAGCATCCAGCGCCGCAAATGCGGCCTGCAGGACTCCAGGTTCAGGTATAGCAACTATAGCACATCACAAACTTCAACAGAAACCGATTCAGGGCTTCAGCGCGCCTTCAGGCTGCCGCAACGCTGCCTGCGCTCAGGGCCAGGAAGTTCTGGGCCATGAAAAAAAGCAGCAGCCAGTCTGCTGCAAGATGTCCAAAAGTTCAGATGGATCCAGCAATGCTGCCGAGGCTCCGTAAAAAGCAACGGAGTTGAAGGACATCAGCCTCGGCTTTCTTTTCAATACGTGACAGAACAGTCTGAAACAGCCCTCTACCGAATTATTCCAGCAGATGACTGCAACTCTCACAAGCTTCCCTTCATTCTCCCAAGAGTTCCGCAGGCAGCGGCCAATTGGCACTACATCCATACTACAGTGACAACTAACAGTGATAGTGCCGTTTCGCATCAAGGACTACCAAGCTGGCGATTATGGACATGACGATTCTCGCTAGAGCTGATGCTGCGGTTGCTGCGGTTGCATGGGATGTGGTCTTCCAAGGCTTCGGCCCTTGCAGCCTCCGGCATCGCCGCCGACGGCGCGAGCAAGTCTCCGGATGAGCACGGAATGCACCACGGCCACTCGGTTGCTTGGTCTATCTTCGTGTTTGTCGAACTTCTGACCGGCTTGATTCATGAAGGCTTGCTGCAGTGGCTGACACGACTACAGTTGGAAAGTCCGTTGCAGCTGCCTGAGAAGTTTCGCTTGTATAGCTTCGCTGGTTGAGCTGCCCTTGCTTTGTGCCGCGAGACTGCGGGAGCCATGGTCCTTGCAGACCCTTGCCGACTCTCTTCAAGTCGTCTTCCCCGATTTACATTCATCCCTGGTGTGGTCCTGTGAGAGCCTTCCAGTGATCCAGGGCTGGCCTCGGGGCTGTTGCCAGCTCAGCGAAGCAGGGAGACGGCCACATCGCTCAGATATGCTCAGATGCAAACTGCCAAAGGGAGTGTGGCGGGAAGAGCTCCTGGAAGTGAGAGCCTGACTCAGAAAAGTGCTGCCAGGAACCCGGGACCCCCCATTGAGAGACGCCAAGCCTGCAGTCTGAAGATCTGCATCTTGGCCACCAAAAGCCTACCGAGTGCGGCTCGTGTGGCTGCTGTCGTTAGGGATTATCCCTGGACCCCTTCAGCAGCCTGCACCGCTGTCCAAACGATCGCGGACGCCTACCCGTGCCCGAGTTCAAGTCGGCGGCCAACTGGGCATGAACTTTGACCACCTGGCTGATGTTGTACCCGCTCGCAAGGAGATAGTTCAACAATCTCACCGCCTTGCACGGGAAAGCATCCGTTAGAATCACTGAAGTGCACACAGGACGATCAGATCTCAGGAACAAGCTGCGCTTGTCAGGTCTGCGTCAAGAGCCGAAGTGGCACCGGCAACCGCCGCAGCAGCCTCTTCTGTGCTGAGGTATGCCTCCAGCATCGGCCCGACCCCGGGACACTTAGCAGCAAGAGCAACATTCCTGACCAAGAGCAGCAGCAGCAGCAGCAGCAGCAGCAGCAGCAGTAGCAGCAGCAGCAGCAGCAATAGCAACAGCAGCTTCAGCCGCCATCGGCAGCAGCGGCAGCAGCAGCAGCAGCAGCAGCAACAGATAAGACAGATTGCAACCACAATCACACATGCAATACAACCACAACAGCACCACTGGCACAGGTAGCATCATCATCATCGTCGTCGTCATCATCACCATCATCATCATCATCCTCGTCGTCGTCATCACTGTCAGCTCATTATCTCAGCATCAGCTGCGGCAAGCATAGCTGGCAACACCACGGCTGTTGCGCAGCATCTGGCAACACTGCGGTTGGTGAGTTAGGGCTCGGCATCAGTCACTGCACATCACAAGAGATCGCAAACACTGGGCGATGGAGACCCCGTCAGCAACTTGGCCAAGGTACAACACTGTAGTCACCACTGGGGCTAAGACCAAGAGTGCAGCAGCATATGCAGCGTGTTGAACTTCCTTCGGCCCTGTATGATTGGTTTCACCTCGGAGCTACAAACAGAATCAGACATTTCACATCCTATAGCGATTGGTACAGAGACGTGGCGGTGGCTGCGAAGGTGCTACACTATCGTCAGCTACTCCTGCAGGCCGCTTCCAGCTCCACTTTCGGCAAAGCGTGTAGCAATTCCATCCAGATCGATGGATCGCCCTTGAAGTGCAGAAGAAGATGTGCTGGGCAAGCTGCTTGCAATCGTGACGACAGCATCACCTGCCGACAGGAAGCAGACTGCTGATCCCTTCAGCGCAACATGGTAGGCCCCGGCCAAGCGTCACACCGCTGTCTGCTACCTCCGCTGCAAGGTCCAATCCAAGACGTGTGAGTCCGAGTAAGGCCCAGCCCGACCGAGACCCATGCCAGTACGGTTCGTGCCCGGGCCACGGCATCCAGCAGGGAAAACTGACTCTGCGCCGGCACACCTCTCAGCCGGCTATCAGCTCTCTCTCGCTCGGTCTCTTCACATGCAAGGGATGCTGTTGGCCTTCGAAGGCATCTCTCAGATCGCTAAGACGCCATGGCCTGCCGCAACTGATCTGGCTGGAAGACTTTGGATTCGCATCTGAGAAGCGTGCCGGACGGCCCCCTCCAGGAAGAGCTGGTACCACCAGACGCCCTGCGCAAATCTCTAAAGCCCTCTCAGTCAGAAGTGGCCACAAATGTCCATACTAAAGGCCTGAATGAGGGCTTCGGTTGAATCCGGAGGGAGAGCCGACAGCCTAGCAGAGCAGCAGAGAAACTCACACCACAAGTAGACAGCTCTTGCTTCTAAGCTAAGCGGCATCGCGGCGATCGTCTGGTTGACGGCCTTGCAGGACAAAAGGTCTGGGAGTCCAGGGCTCAGAACTCGGCTATGCGGTGCCCCGGCAGTTTACCTTCAGGGCCTGAAGGCTTGGGGCTTGGGAAGAGTGAGTCGATATCATGTTCGCATGCTGCCAAAGCTACGGCAACAAGGCAGCCAGGGCTGTCTAATTTTGAAACGGGCATCTGGCTACTTGCAAAACTGGAAGACGCTAGAAGCTCTCCATGTTCAGTGGGTTGATAGTCTTTGCAAGCTAGGATCGCCTGTTGGGCTGGCTCCTGGCTAGACTCTGCTAGACTCTGGTTCGAGATTGGCCTGGTGGACCAGCTTCAGGACACTACATTACCAGTTCTGCAGATTGCTGTTTCGGCGTGCGTCGCTACAGTCAGCTGTTCCAGTCAAGGCGTACTTCGTCCACATCTTGTAGACTGACAAGACGCGTCGGGGAGTGCGGCTTTGGCTAACAACCCCGGATAAAATGGCGCTCGCTATGGCTGGGTGTCAAGAAGTAAACAAGGTCCTGTCCGAGCAGGTGATCTTTTGTCTTAGACATGGAAGGTGCGAAGGATGGGCAATAGATGAAGGTGGCCGTTCGCCGTAGCCAGATCCTCAGGGAAGTCTCCTCGAGTGTTGGGCACGGAAGAATCGGCACCAAAGTCAAGCAGGAACTGCACCAAGTCGGGGTCACCAATGAAAGACGCGATACCCAGGGGTGATATGCCGGGGAGGAGGGCAAAGCATCGCGTGCGAAAACTGCTCCTGGAGGTCCCCACGACTGCTTCATAGACCCTGCACGCCTGGCAACCCCACCTGAACGCTCCGGTCGGAGCGGCGATAGCATTTACATTGGCGCCGTGCTCGAGCAGCAATTGTACGATCTTCAGAGCACACCGGTTGCCCCGGGAGAAGAAGATCGCGCTGTGCAAGGGGCTCAACCCGTGGCCAAACACTGGCGGGTTCGGATTGCACCTTGCCCGCAGCAATGCCGCGATCGTCTCGGAGTTGGCCGCGCCACAGGCACCACCGAGTGGAGTGTTACCCACTGGATAAGTAAGCTTATTCAGATCTGCCCTTGCGCGAATGATCACCTCGAGCTGCTGAGGCGAGCGCACCATGGGCAGAACAGTGGAGCCATTTGCCATCGTGGCGTGGATGTCCGCATGCAGCTCGATTAGGGTGGCCAGGACACCGGCCGGCTGGTGAGACTTTGCTGCGCAGATCAGTATGGTCTGGCCATCAAAATACCCAGCCTTTCCCAAGCCATGAGACCTCCAGTTCACATCGGCTCTGCTGCCGACCAGCTCTCGAATCATCCCGCTATCACCACTGAACACTGCGCACATTAAGCCGTTCATGCTGCTCTGATCCGTCGCAGCCTCCTGAAGGCTAGCGAAGTGGAAGGCATTCAAGAACTCTTGCAAAGCCCACTCGGAACGATTTTGCCCCAACATCCTGGACCGGCGGGCCAGATAGAAGCGGAAGGCCTTAAGAGGACCAGAGTCCCTAAGCTCACAAATTTTGTTTTCGAGTGCTTTCTGTCCAAGCTGGACAACCACCTCGCGGTCTTCTTCGACGGTGAAGTCACCGCTATCAATTGTATTCCTTGGCTTGCAAGAGCGTGCAAAGGCGTTTTGTGTTCTGCTGGGCACACGATGAAGAGGTGCAGTATGGCAGCAGAGGCTCTCCAACCAGTCCAGGGGAAACATGAACTTGGCTTCTGTCACAGAGGTTACGAGAATGACGCTCGTATCCGGCTTGCTGGAGAGCATGTGAAGCCAGAGCTCTGCCCTGCACCAAGCATGCAAGAAGAATGGGCAGAGCGGCAGGGCAAACACAGTTGCATGTGCTACTATGTGCTACCGCTGGCCTTGCTTTCCCATGTTTATGATGCTCTTTTCCGCTGAACTCTTCACTATCACA